GAGGGGCAGGACTGAGCTCTGCTCTGGGGGGAGCAGGGACAGCCCCCAGGGAATGGCTGGAGCTGTGTCAGGGCAGGCTCAGGCTGGATCTCAGGGAAAGGTTCTTCCCCCAGAGGGTGGTTGGCACTGAACAGGCTCCCCAGGGCAGTGGGCACAGCCCCAAGGCTGCCAGAGCTGCAGGAGGGTTTGTGACCTCAGTCACCCTCTGTGCTCGATCTGTGAGCCAGTTGCTCACCCCCACAGGATGTTTATCCAGCTGTGGGGTGGACAGTGTGTCCAGAAGTATCCTGGGAGAGACAGGATTGAAAGCTCTACTGAAATCCAAAGAGATCACATCAACTGGTTTCCCTTGATCAACCAGCTGGGTCACCTTGTCACAGAAGGTTTGATAACCAGGACTTTGCTGGCTGTGACCAATAACTGTGTTGTCTTTCAGGTGTTTTTCAATCCCTCCCAGAATAATCTTCTCCATAACTTTACCAGGCACTGAAGTGAGACTGGCAGACTGTAGTTTCCAGGGTCCCCATTCTCGCTCTTCTTAAAAATCAGGACAATGTTCACCAGCTGTACTGAGCTTGCATTTCTGGTTTCTGCAGCCACACTTACTGCTGTAATAAAAGTTAAGCTTTCCTACAAACCCTGCCCTGCATAGTAATATTAATGAGAGTAACAGCTGGGGCTTCAACTCCCCTTTTCATGAGCTTGACCACCCAGCGAGCTGTTGGCCTGCCCAGGGAGATGCTGGGCCCAGTGCAGGTTGCAGATTCACAGCACACACACTCTATTTTGAGGTGGGGGCAGATGTGTCATCTTAGGGAGCAGGAGCAGAAAGGGACAGCACTCCTGAGAGGGGACTCTCCTGCTCCACTGCAAGAAAATTGTGAGGAGGAGAATGAAAGACTTAGGATGGAGCATCATCCAGTGGCATTTCATGCTATGTGGGAAGGACATCTCCCCCTCTCTTCAGCTGAAGTGTGACCATAGGTATTTTTGGTTAATTCCTAATAAAGGAAGGCAGCTTCACCGCTGGAATGCAGTGTAAGACTATGTCCCATCTACCTCTGCCACAGGACAAGGGTGAGACCAGGGCAGGTGTCTGTAACATCGCCTGTGGCCAGGACAATAATTGTTTTTTTTTCCCTTCTGCTGCAAAACCAAGGGACTATTACATGAAACCAGCCATTGGCGGGTTCAGAAAACAAGCAAACAAAACCAAAGAAAGGGAAAAGGAAGTTGTTCTTCACA